ATGGATTCCACACACACGAAGCGTACTCTCATATAGGGTGGATGAGTGTTTTGTACTTTACTAATTTGGTCGAATTTGGCAATTTAGATGATGTACATCTTAAGTAACCAAATTTTTTTAAAGCTTTAGACGTAATGTAGTCTATGTGATGCGACCATTGCATGTTGTGTGTGAGCATAACGCCAAGGTATTTGTACGTCTGTGCTCGGGGGATTTCAAAGTTGTTGAAGGAGTATGCATATCGCGATAGTGAATGGCTGTTGGTAAAGGACAAAAGTACTGTTTTTTGGAAATTTATGCGCATCTGCCAGTCCAAGCACTAAGAACAAAACTGCGAGAAAGAATCCTGAAGTATGGCATGATCATTAGGAGAACTAATTACATGGTAAAGTACACAGTCGTCGGCGTACAGGCGAACTTGGGACCTAATATTGCTGGGAAGGTCATTTATAAAAATCAGAAATGAAAGTGGACCGAGAACGGAGCGCTGGGGGACACCAGATGTGACTTTTACGGCTGAGGACGACTTGGAATTGAATGAGACGAATTGAGAGCGCGAGTTTACAAAGCTTGCTAACCAGTCAATCGATTGAAGATTATTTAAAATTACCTGTAGTTTACCTAGAAGTTTGCTGTGTATGACGGTGTCGAAAGCCTTCGAGAAATCTATAAATAATGCATCAATTTAATTACCAATGTCTAAATTACTAATATTATCATGCGAAAATTTCACCAGTTGCGTTATTGCGCTGAAGCCGCGACGAAATCCATGTTGTGTGCAGGACAGAAGATTATTCGTTTCAAGAAACTCAGTTATGTGTTTATGAATGATGTGTTCGAGTAGCTTTCCAGAACTGGAGGTTAGTAATATGGGTCTACAGTTGAAGAGGAGTTGTCTGTTTTTTTATTTATTCAGAGGCAGGACCTTGGCTAACTTTCAGGACTCGGTAACTGTACTTGAAGAGAAATATTTGTTAAAAATGATGGTCAAACAACGTGAACACCACAGAGAATATCGTACCAGAAAGCTATTCGGAATATTATTGAGGCCAGTGCACTTCTTCGTATCTAAATTGAGAATCAAGTTTAGGTACCATCTGTGCTAATTACCAGGTCGTCGACGGACACCTCTGGATTTGAATTTCTAAGCGAAGGGAGAACATTATTGTCGTTCGTGAACACTGACTGAAAATAGGTATTGAACGCATTGGCTATATTAATGGGGTCTGAAACTGCCTTGCTGTCTAATATAAAGGAAAATGTATTGGTTCTATCGGGGTTAATAGAAGACCAGAATTTGCGCGGATTGGATTTTAATAATGCTGGCAGTTCAATTTGGAAAGAAAAGTTCCTAGCACATTCCATTTGTTTACGCAGATTTACCACTGCAGTGTTAAAGCGACTGACAACTTCTGGATTACCTGTCTTTTTCAAACGGCGCAGACGACGAACGCGACGTGAAGTTTGCAGCAAGCTGCGATTCATCCAAGGAATCTGCAGATTTCTTTTTTTTTTTGTCTTGAGAGGAACGAATTGATCAATGCATGACTCCACGACATGCTCAAATGCGCTAACTAAAGTGTCAACATGACCGTGACAACAAAGTGCCTGAAAAGAATCAAAGTTCGAAGCTAGCACATCTGTGATAGAGGCGTCATCAGCATGAACGAAATCATGAAACTGCGTAACGCTAAGCTGCTGTTTATTTAGACGGGATGGAAGCGATATGTGCACAACTTTGCGGTCAGAAATGCCATCAATGACGTCGCACTGAAATGCTGTTTGAACTAAATGAGAACTGAGAAAAACGAGGTCTAGGTGAGCGTTGTGGCGAGTTGGAGATTGTACAATTTGAGTGAGGCCCAGGGTTAGGAACATAGATACGAGTTCCCTACAAATAGAGATTTCTTGCCCAATGCAGCTTTTTGTTTGCCAGTCAATAGCCGGTGCATTAAAGTCCGCCATAAAGACAAATTCTGAGGCACCAAAGTCATGTTGGTGCACATATGTGCTAAGCCTTTGTAAATATTCTAAGGAAGAACCTGGTGCACGATAGCATACACCAATAAATATTGACAGTTTATTTAAACATAGTCTAAACCAAACTAGTTAAACATCAGGAGTGTCGGGGAGCACAAAAAATTTAATGTCTGAACGAATCAGTAGTGCTACACCACCACCTTTGCCATGTGATTGGTCATTGCGTACTGCTACATAACCGGGTGGGGTAAATTCACAATAAAACACTCCATCATGTAGCCAGGTTTTCGTTATGGCCACTAAATGTGGAGAGTACGACGTAACAAGGGAAAGTAAAGGAACGAGCTTTTCAACAATGCTTCTGGCATTAAAATACAAAATACTTAGTTTTTGAGAAATTCCTGGCAGTCAACGAGAAGGTGCTTTAGTTTTTGAAGCAAACGATTCCTTAATGGCGCCAGTAGAATCACGCTTTAAGGAATCTGTACTATTGTACCAGATGTAGCGCACGTCATCAATATAGGCATGATCATACCGTAGTTTTACACTGGATCCGCTATCTCGATAACTGGCAGTTGCGTCCCACAGTTTCTTTCGTAAGGTGCGCACATTTGGGGATAGATCTTCAGTTATGTACAGACCAGACCCTTTTAGTTTCGACACACATTTCAGGACGCGCATTTTTTCCCTGTAATCAAAGATTTTCATTATGACTGGTCGTGTTCTCCCTTCACGCGATCTGCCTATACGATGACATCGCTCAATATCTGGGCATCGTATCTGAAGACGCTCAGATAGCACTTGTGTCACAGCATTCGCAAAGAGTCGGTATTTTCATCAGGAGTTTCCGCTAAGCCATGTAAAAGAATAATGTTTCGGCGTGAGCGGTTTTCTAAACCTTCTAACTTTAAACTGAGTTTGGTGACAGACTCTTTAAGTGACGCGATTTCAGAGATAAGCGTATCGTTTGTCACATCACAATTAGCAATAGCTCTGTAAGATTCTAATGCAGACACACGAGTCTCAAGGGCTTCGAACCGCGAGTTAAATGCTTCTTTGATATCGGCAATATCGCTTGCAATTTCTTTCTGGCCAGCCACTAGTTGGGCAAGAAGATTAGCCATGTCGGTTGGGGAACTAGTTGAACTGCCTGTGCCACTCGCAACGGGGGTGTTAACATCGGTTGTCTTAGCAGTATTTGCTGAAGGGACACCTCTAGGACCGGGGTTAAGTTCGACGTCACCACTCAATAGAAGGCTAGAAAAATGCAAAACACGAGAGCAACAAGCAACAAGACTGTTCGGGCAGAACAGCAGCAATAAAAAGCGGTCATCGGAACGATAGCTATAGGCATCAGGAATATAGCACACCTGCGTGAAAAACAAGCAGTGATTTAGCAACATTCCGGTGTTGCCCCTGTTCTGACCATTGATGCGAGGAGCCGCCGCGACGGCCTTTATAGCGTCCCGTGTTAACGTTGCCCACCACGTGTTAGCGATGAATGGCTCCGAGTACATGACGTTGGTCATAGGTGGAACACGTGGGAGTCCATCGCTAAAGCCGTGCAGCGTGCTAGGGTAAACTTCAAGCGGTGTGGCAAGAAAGACCAAAGGCACACAATCGACAGCATCATCGTGTTGCAGAAGAAGCAGCATGGACGATAAGGCAGCGTCATCGCTGAGCAATCCATGGTAGAATCCAAAAAGCTGCGTGAAAAACAAGCAGCGATTTAGTGACAATCCGGTGTTGCCGCTGTTCTGACCGCTGTTCTGCCCACGCTGTTCTTCCCGGTGGGGCTGACAGTGCCCAGGCCACTGCATATCTGCTTGCACTGCTTGTCGCTTTTCTGAGCGTCAAGGAGCTGCCGTCTTGAAACCAGGCGTCTCCAAGCTTTTTCAGGCGCTGTCACGGCTAGGACATAGGCGGCTGGTTTGATAAACTCTGACAGTGGCGCTCGGGAAAGCGCGTCAGCCACTTTCTTGCCGGTGCCTTTCTTGTACTCTACTCTGTAAATATACTCCTGAAGAGAAAAAAGACCACCGAGCCAGAAGGCCGGATGAATTTTCGAGCTTTGATACCCATGACAGAGCCTGGTGGTAGGCATGAATGATTGATATGTGGGGTTTAACATCCCAAAACCACCACTTGAATATGAGAGACGCTGTCGTGGAGGGCTCCTAAAATTTTGACCACCTGGGGCTCCTTAACGTGCACCCAAGTCTGAGCACACAGGGCTACAACATTTCCGCCTCCGTTGGAAATGCAGCCGCCACAGCCGGAATTTGGTCAAGCAACCTGCGGGTCAGCAGCCAAGTACCTTAGCCACTAGACTACCGTGGCTTGGCGGGTCGGTTTGAATCGTAAATGCAGCTCTATCCAGATACATGTCGAATTTCTTCAGTGCGAATACTATTGCAAGATACTCCTTCTCTGTTATGCTGTAGTTCTTTTCTGCACTTGAGAGCGTGTGGCTGGCAAATGCTACCGGGTAAAGCATTCCTGGTTATTATTGGAACAAAACTGCTTCGAGGTATTATTAGAGAGTTTTAGTACTGCGTACGCTGCGTACGTGGCGGCGTTGCGTACGTAAGAACACCACGTTCTGCGTAGTGCACATGCGCAGACCGCAACGCGCACGTATCGCGTTACGTACGCAGCCTCTACGTACGCACGCATGGGATGCGTGCGTGCGTACGTATGAGGTGATCGCGCCGCTCTCGAACAAGTTCGCGACAGCGCGAGACTTCGTTTTGCAAAATGGCGGCATCAAAGGCAAGCACCGACCGGCTCTGTGGCTTAAAATATGGCCATAATTCGGCTATAACACTTGCATTGGCTCACATTGGCTGTCAACAACACGTGCTTCTATTTTGATCTACCAGATGGCGCAACACGCTTCACGCTCGTTACGTACGCGGGTACTACGGCGTACTAAAAGCCGATTAGTGGCAAACGACGCCACGTAACGCAAGGCACTTGCGTGATGCGTACGTAGCACCATTCCGCAGTACTAAAACTCTCTATTCACTTGCGTTGGTCTGCAAAGTGAAGGGCAAGTTTAGGTCAGGGAGGTGCATTCGCGCTGTATCAGCGAAAGCCACCAAGAGAGCCTGGAATGCAGCCTGCTCCATGTTAGTCCAAGACCGAGGGGCACCCTTGCGCAGGAGCTGGTGAAGTGGTCTTGCCAGATCGGTGAAGTGAGGGATGAAGTAGCGGTAGAAGCCCACCACACCCAAAAAGCGCTGCAGGCTCTTAACGCCCGTTGGTGGTGGAAACTGCAGGATGGCCTGAAGTTTTTGCGGATCTGGCCGTATTGTGCCTTCGTCCACAATAAAACCTGAGAGGTTCATTCTCTTTGAGACCAACTGAACTTTTTGCGGGTTGATGGTGATGGCGGCGTCTTGCATTCATTGTAATAGAGTGGTCAAGTGGACCAGGTGCTCGTCGAATGTTTGGGGAAACACTACAACGTCGTCTATGTAAGGCATTGAATTGAATTGAATTTTATTGGTCATAGTTTTTACAAACATTTGCATACACTGCGCGGACCCATAGCCAAAGGTTAGTTTGGTTTCAAAAAAGGAGAGATTTTATAAAGGCACTTCGAAAAAAATAACTAAGAATGTTATGCAATATCAAGAAAGAATTAACTAAAGTTTTTACAATCTAATGTAATAAACTTAGAATCGGCAAAGAAACATTACAATGTATGAAATAACCGCAATAAACCGTTACAGTGTGCGAGAGAACGAAAACAGAATAAACACCTACTTAGATATAGAAATCAAGACAGTCATCAGAGTAATTATGACAGGTCAATAATATATCACTACATTCTTCTAAATAGTGTTTTTCTAGTGCCTTAGTGAAATTGGAACATAATTTGATTTCAAAAGGAATAACATTCCAGATTTGAATACCAACAAACTGTAAAAGCCATTAACCATATACGTTGTTAGTTCGTAGAATATTCCATTTACCACAGGTTAGTTGTCTAGTAGAACGAGAAGGGGCGGAAAACATCGACGCATGAAAAGAGTGGCTGTAATTATTAACTGTGTGTACGCATCTGGCTAGTTTTATTTTTTTCGCTTGTCGAAGGGCAAAATAATTAAGCTGGAAAACAAAAGTTCGCACTGGCCGCAGTGGCATCGCACGAGCTACAAAATAGGCAGAGTTCCCTATTCCTGCAGTTATCCTGACCACCCATTTCTTTGCCCGTCCCGGCTGCTTCATCTGCGGTTATATTCGTGGTACTACATCGTCGCATTGCCCTTGGAAGGTGCTGGATCATCCACACATGCGACTGCGTGGTCATTTTGTGGCCTGCTGCTAGCTTTCGGTGATTTCACCGCTGGAGGTCGCTGCCCTGAGAGCAAGCCATATATATTTGCCAGCACCAGCACCGGCTCTTCACTGGCAGCAGTGGCAATGCACGAGCTACAAAATAAGCAGAGTTCCCTGTTCCTGCAGTTATTCTGACCACCCATTTCTTTGCCCGTCCCGGCTGCTTCATCGGCAGTTATCTTCGTGGTGCTTCATCGTCGCATTTCTCTTGGAAGGTGCTGGATTATCCACACGTGGTAAAGCTGCGACTGCGCGGTCACTTTGTGGCCTGCTGCTAGCTCTGGACGATTTCGCCGCTGGAGGTCGCTGCCCTGAGAGCAAGCCCTCTATATCTGCCAGCACCAGCACCGGCTCTTCACTGGCAGCAGTGGCATTGCACGAGCTACAAATTAAGCAGAGTTCCTTGATCTTGCAGGTATTCTTTCAAGCTCTTTTCTGTATAGTTTCTATTTTTTTTCAACTGCCGCTGCTGCCAAACATTGCGTCGTGATTTGCATTTTTTGTGTCTGCAATTGTTTTTTATCAAGAGTGTTTACCAGGCCAACTAATGCTGAAGTGTCAAAATAAATTGAAGACCTTGAGGCTGAAATTAACAGCTTGGCTAAGAACACATCTGAAAAGTTCTTTGGCAGGTTCTTACTCTAGCTGCAAAAATAGAGCATAGATGTTGCTTAACTAAAAAAAGAAGTTGTATCGCTACAATTGAGTGCGGAGCACTCGAACGAACTTGTCGACGACCTACGTAACCAAAATGTCACATTGGTAAATGAGAATAAACAGCTAAAAACTCAGAATGACTCCCTCAGCCACAAGTTTGAGGAACTGGAGCAATACTCGCGCATGGGTAATGTGGAGATCAAGAGCATTCCCTGCACTCAGGGGGAATACTGCAGTGCAATCGTGAAAATGATTGGGGAGAAGGCTGGCTGCCCATATTGCCTGCTTATCTCGACATTGTGCATTGCGTGCCAACACGGTCTAAAGATAACCTAAACATTATTGCGCGCTTCTGCTCCAGGACTAAGAAATCTGACTACATCAGTAAAGCACGTAAGGCGAAGCTCTGTGCTAGTGATCTTGGTATCACAGGTGTTACCAACGCCCCTGTCTTTATCAATGAGCATCGACTCCAAGCAACAAGGTCCTCTTTTCCAAAGCCTTAACACTAAAAAAGAAAAAGAACTGGTTGTTTCTCTGGACAGACAACTGTCAAATTGAAGTTAGAAAGACTACTAATAGCAGAGTCCTGCACATTCGCTATGACTTCGATTTGACAAAAATAGGCTAAGCCTTATACTAAGTGATCATTGCATCATTTCTGCCTTGCATCAACATGGATACTCTTATAAAGCCAGACCATGTTAACTCATTCATAAGTAGATATAATTCTATCATTCATTTCAAGGCTAGGAGCCTTCGTAAACACTTCGATGAAATTCATGATCTATTTTCTTAATATAGCAACTCCTTTTCACTTATTGCCATAACAGCAACATGGTTATCAGTTGCTGACAGAAATATTCATTGCTTCCCAAATTGTAACTCAGAATACTGTAACAGAGTAACTAGCAGTCATTGTGGTGCAGCCATTTTATAACTCCTGATCTTTCTTATAGGAGAAGACATGATTAGCACATGCCTGTAACTAATTGCGAATCAGTCTGGATTGAAGTCACTAATTGCTCTCCACCTTGCGATCAGAAAGATTTCATATTTGGCTGCATTTACCGATCTCCCTCATCCTCAGTCGAAGATTTTTTTTCTAATCTTGAAAATGTCCTACATATCATTTCTCTTCAGAATTATACTGCCGTTTTAATGGGTGACATCAACATCAACTTACTCAATTATACTTCACCTGTTGTTATTAGTTAATTAGTTACACTAGTCTACTGCAAAGCTATGAATTTGAGTCTTTAAATGATGTTCCTACACGGCAAGTTCCCAGTGGTGCTGGGACCCTGATAGATTATGCTTTCTCTAACTCGCTAATATCTCCGCAGGTGAAAGTTCTCGACAGTGACATTACTGATCATTATCCTTTGCTCCTACGCTTCAATCGACAACTACGTCCTTGCACTCTTCCTCATTCCAAATGTGTTCTGGATGAAGAGTTTCATAACGGCCCTAGAGGACTTATATTGGATCGAGGTGAAATCTTGTAATGATCCCCAAAAAGCATTTTATAACTTTTTCCCTAATTATATTGCATATCCGAAAATTCACTTAGAAAAAGAAATGTAAAAAAATATTAGCATTTTCTCATAATCCGTGGAAGTCTCAAAAGCTATTAGCTGCTTTACGTAGACGAGACAACCTCTACAAAAAACTAAACGTCAGCCGTTTAATAATAAGTTAATTGCCCGCTAAAAAAATTACGTAACGCTGTAAACAAGCACTTAAAAGCTGCGAAGCGTTCTTTTCTGGAAGAAAAGATATCGGAAGCAGGTAATAATGCAAAACAAAAATGATATATTGTGAACTGCTTTCTAAACAGGAGTTTTTGCCACCAAGTATCCGGAATTGTAATCGACAACATTGAATTTAACTTGCCTATCGACATAGCTGACGCTTGCTGTTTCTACTTTTTTAGCACTGACGCACCCTGTCCCACACAAATCACACCTCTTAGACGCCTCCCTCATTCGTTTTTTTTTTCTCTTTCCAACTACTCCTGAAGAAATGCATAATGTCTTAAAACACCTCAAATCTACCGGAGCAGGAATTGATGAAGTCCTGCCTGCTCATATAAAACTCATTTCACCCCTAATTTCTGATATATTGTGTTTCATTGCGAATTTTGTATTCAAGACAGGCGTATTTCCTAAAGAGCATAAACGCGGTAAAATTATCCCAGTTAATAAAAAAGGTGATAGGACATTAATTAATAATTACCGATTCATTTGCACTCTGCCCTCTTTTGGTAAAGCTCTTGAGAAGTTGACTAAAGTACGCCTAACCAATTACCTTGATAAATTCAATATTCTGTCTCCTTGTCAGTTCGGCTTTCGCAATCAATTCTCTACTGATCTAGCACTCATTCATCTAACCGATCAACTAAAAAAATTCATTGACAAAGGTTTATTTGCAGGATGAGTATTCATCGTTCTAACAAAAGCATTGGACAGTTTAAACCACATCATTCTCTTTAATAAACTTGAAGCGATTGGTCTATGTGGTCCTGCTTTAGCGTTACTAAAAAGCTACCTGCATAACCGTGTTCAACTTGTGTCCATTTCAAATGTACATTCTAAGGAATTATCTACTAATATTGGTGTCCCTCAAGGATCCATGTTAGGACCGCTCCTGTTTTTAATTTATAAAAATGATCTTCCTAACTGTCTGTCCTTCACTAATTCCATTTTGTATGCTGATGACACTACCATATTTACTTCTGACAAAAGTATTTCACTTCTCGTCGACAAGCTAAGCACTGACTTCAAAAAATGTTTCAAGTTGGTGCAGTGCTAACTTGTTAACTATTAACAAAACCAAGACTACAATTGTAGTATTTTCAACGCTAAAAAATATTCAGCATCCTTTCCTTCGTTGACTTCTGGCTCGCACTCCATTTTTCCCAGTCCCTGCGCTTCTTTTCTCGGAATTTCTCTCGATTCTAGCTTGAAATACAAGGATCATATTTCTGACATCAAAAAGAAAGTAGCATACGGCATCCGCACTCTGATTAAAACTCGTCCATACTTCACACGTTCCACTTTACTGTCACTCTACTATTCCTTCGTTCATTCTCATAATAATTATGGCATAATGTGCTGGGATAACACCTATAACACTCACTTGGCTTCCCTTCAAGTACTACAGAACCAATTCATAAGAATCTATACTAACAGTTCACGTTTTTCTAACGGTAAATGCCTACTTCATGATAACAATTTGACTATTCTAGAGCTCCTCAATTGCAACATAGGTATCATATTCTATAAATACATCACCAAGACACTACCTCCTATCTGCTTCTTATCTTCCGACCTTGTTGCTCATAGTAATACTAGATATGCATGTAACAATAACGTCCTTTTGCCTAAGGTACGTACTAATT